CCCCAAAACCCCAAAACCCCAAAACCCCAAAACCCCATCTGTCATTATCACATAGAAAATGAGTATTATATGAATGAAGCATAATTCTTAAAGTAAATAATGATTGAATAGTCAAATTCTAGGCAATCTCACTTCAAGAAGATAATCTCTTCATCATTGCTGAAAACTCTTCGAATGAAATTTCCCCATCACCATTGGCATCAACTTGCATGATGATTTCATTGACAGCTTCTTCACTGAGAGTCTTTCCAAAGCCTAGGATTTCTTTAATTTCATCAGATGAGATGAATCCACTATTATCTTTATCGAACATTTTGAATGCAGATTGGAGCTTTTCATTTGTCAATAAATTCTTCTCATTCATAGCAGCAACAACAAACTCTGAATAGTCAATGAAACCACTTCCGTCAATATCAACTGATTTAAACATCTTTTCAATATCAGCGGGATCCATGTTCTTCCCGAAGAATTGATCATATCCTTCAAGAATTTCATCCATTGATAGTTTACCATCACCATTCTTGTCAATAGCTTTGAAAATCTTAGCGAGGTTTTCTTTTTCTGATTTTGTTAATAGCTGTGATGCGATGAATGCGAAGGTAGCTTGCTTCAATTTTTGGTCTGCTCTGAAAGTCTTCAAGTTGGAGAGAGCTCCGAAAGCCATTGAAGTATCGACTGTTTACTGGCTGAAATCAATAATCCATGGATGTTGAAGAGCAACTTCAGCTGATGGTCTTTGATCGACATCATAGGTAAGTAGTTTTGTGATGAAATCTTTTCCCTTATCAGAGATGTTTGACCAGCATGTATCAGAGAAGGAGAACTTTCCAATTCTGACTTTCTTCATGATCTCTTGGTCGCTTTGTCCGTTAAAGGGTGGCATACCTGAGAGAATGATGTAGGTGATGACTCCGCAGGACCAGATATCGCACTTCTCGTTGTACTTCTTGTTGAGGACTTCTGGGGCGATGTAATAGGGGGTTCCTAGTTTCTCATCGAGAGACTTTGCGCTATCATAGACAAGAGAGGTACCGAAATCAATAATTTTGATTTGATCGAAGTCTTTGTTTTGCTCTAAAAGAATGTTCTCTGGCTTAAGATCTCTATAATGATGTTATTTATGAAAGTCATACCTATGGACAATGTTGTTTTTGTGGCAATAGTTGACACAAGAGAGAACTTATTTCATAAGAATAGCTGCATCTTTCTCTGTGAATTTGCCTCTTGCAATGATTTCGTCGAACAATTCTCCACCTTTGCAGATTCTAAAAATTTTAGGATCAACATATTACTTACTCGGTGACAATGTAATATCTCTTCTCATCCTCGAAGAACTCATACATCTTCACGATATTTGGGTGATCCTAAAATAATTTAGCATTTGTTTTAGAGCTATTTTAAAGATATGCCCATAGCATTTAGAATAATAAAATAAATTAGGGCGGATAAAAGTGGAAAGCGACGTACCAACTCACGCAATATGTTGATTTCGTTGAAGAGCATTTTCTTCTCATCTTCATCCATGTGGCTCTTTCTCAATACCTTAACTGCTCTTTGTGCACCAGTTTCTCTGTGAACACACATCCTCACTTCTCCGAAAGCACCTGATTTGTTTTATTAATTGTAATCTTACCGCTTCCAAGCATCTTGCCAATTCTATAGTGATCTCTAAGCTTGCCAGCGTTTTGGGTGACAAACTTGTTAGCGGCGATTGTGACGTCGTTCTCTATAGGTGATATTAACTTAGTTGCAAAAAATAGAGTCGACTTACTTCCTTGCATGATGATATTCTTTTAGATATTTAACTTAATAAAATATCGTCGGGGCTCTTACTATATAGTCACTCAATTAATTTTAGATAAATTTTATCTCAATCATAATACTACTCAAACTTTGATTACCAATTTTAAACAGTAGGGGTTTTGGGGTTTTGGGG